TTGGCAAATGTCAAAGAAAATTAGATGTTTTCATTGTCACACCCAAATGCTACCTGCAAATTTTTAGTTGAAAAGCTTAATCATTTTGACCTGTGTAAAAAACAAATTGAACGTCAAATGTTATCTACAAATGTTACACTTAATTTTGTTCTTTTATCGACGCAACACTGCTACCCCGGCATGAAAATTGTCAAGCATGCTTGTCAGACTAACATGAGCATCCAAAAAAATAGAATTTTTGAAATTTATTCACTGTTTATTTTGAATTTACTGTTCATTCTGGAGCATATGCTCCCTAGAGCCAAAACGGCACTAAGTATAACGCAAGAACATCTATGTCCCAATGGTGTGTTCCTTAGATGCAAGGTCGTAAACCAAAGTTCCATTCTCGGCAATGTGAAATTTAAAACACAAAATGAAATGAAGCAGTCAAGGCTTTCAAACCCTAGACCTATAGGTGTAGGAGAGCATACCTACCTACCACTGGGTTATGCAAGAGTTTATGTTTAAGCATGGATGCCACCTTCCTTTATAACATTTTCTTGAAAATACCAATATATATAATGTAATACAAAATTTCAGAAATTTCGTTGAATTTTTTCCCCTTGCTCGAGACATCTGTGCTAGCCTTGTTGGGTACCAAACTCAAAAACCTTTTGTTCGCTATCACCACCCTAACTTTCATCTTGGAACACTCAAGATATGGATATTTCAAACATAATTGCCTAGGAATTTCAAATAGATAACCATGAAAAAAAAATAAGATGAACAACATGTCTGCCGTCTATGATATGGGAGAAGCGTGAAGCCGATGAAGAAAATTAGGGCTTGTTTAGCACAGGGAGTTCGGAGGGGATAACTGGGGAATATCCCCAAAGGTTTCACCCGATCCTCTCAATTCCGGAGAAAATGCTAGATCAGGGTAGTGGACTAGACAACATAAGTTTCTCAGGCTTTTGTGCAATTGTCAGGGTTCTACCACTCTAATATTGGTCCACCAAACAACTAATTTGGACTTTCTAGGATTTTCAAGACTAGCCGGTATTATCCCCTGGCAATACCCGTTGATACCTCTATCAAACGAGGCCTTAGAGTGGAACTCCCTCCATTTTGGGATTATAGGGCCGGTGGACCACATCAGGCGGTTCAAGTTTGTTCAACCATGACTTTAACATGCTAGTTTTTATCTAACATACACTCCCGTTCCGTGAATCACTCAAGGGTTGCGAAAAGACACGTGGCTCTAAAGAGAGGGGGCGGATTCGGTGCCAACGAATCGGTAGGAAGATGAGGGTTACTTGACCGTGTCGATTTGTTCAGGATAATGACATGACATACCTTGCAATCTTGTTGGTGCATTTAAATTGTTCGCCTCCACTCAAATTGGTCTCGTAGTTTTAGCCGATCCTAGATTCCTCATGTAGGGAGTATTGGACTAGATGTTTGATGTCATTACGTATTATTAGTGTGGATCATTATTTCAATTCTAGTTTGAATCTGTTAATCTTGGAACTTTGATATTCCTGTCCTTGTACCCGATGCGTGTGTGTCATGATGTGCGTGTGTCCCAGTCTAGTATATAATGTGTGTTTATAGGAGGAAAAACTAACACTAGAGTCGCTTGGTGATGATGTCGTGTATGACATTCGTGATGTGTGACCATCCAATCTACATCCAATGCATGTGAGGTGTTGCAGAGAGCCTGTAATCCCTCTGGACGAGCCCCATCCCGTGCCGCCTCATCGAAAAAATAAGAGGAATAAATGTCAAGTGATATATACTTAAAATATTGTGAATTTAAATTTTGAGAACACCTATTAGAGCACCTACAGTCAGACTAGGCAAACCCCCCCTACATTTGCGGAAACGCCCGGGCATGACCCCGGACAGCGCCGGACGAGTCCTCATATATCATGTCGGGCAATCACACTCCTCAAATCCATGGAATCCATGCACGTGAATCATATAGCACACATTCATCACAATTCAACAATGCAACAAAGCAAGATAAATCACAGTTCAACAATTCGGACATGCCAAAATAAAATTCAAGTCTGGGCCATGTCCGGCCAACGTGATGAATCACTTGCTGGTTGCCATCCATGTTGCTTGCTCTGTCGCGGCTGCCATCGACGCTCTGGCACAACGTACTCCTTACGCTGGTTGATCTCATTCCTCTTCCCCCTCGGGCCACTTCCTTGCTTGCTCATCCAAGAGTCTCGCGCCCGCCAACAAAATCCTTGAATCCTCCGTGTCTTGAGCGAGTTGCAACCTCTCCTTCTCAAGCTCTGTTGATCCACAAGCCTGACCCTTCTCAAGCTCCCATTTGAGACACGACTCTCGCTTCTCCAACTCTATCTTCTCCCTCTCAATTTACAGTTTTTTGTTGACCCTCTCTCGGTCCGAACCCATCCTTTTTTTTGCATCCAACATGAACTTGTACCTCTCCTCTTTCTTTTTCTCCATTGTGAAAAGAATGCACATCCATGTGGTGGACAATTTTGTCGCCGTTGTGTCAGGGCCGGCCCTCCCTTCTCCCACTTTTTTCCCATCACTTGTCGGTTATTCTTTGGCACGGTGGCTCTTCCATTCTCCCTTACAACTTCTTCCTCTTTGGCATCCACTCCAATGTATTGGTGGGAGCTATAGCCATCATTTGTCTTCAAACTTTTATTGCCTTTCTCGAGGTCTTCTACAAATTGATTCCACTTTGGCTGACCATTCAATTTGATCCAGCAATGGCTAAAACCTAATTGCTTCCTCTTGATTTGTTGAAACAAAGCGACGGCCAACACCATCTATCAAGCAATAAAGCAATCATGAGAATCCGACATTAAAAACTAGCAATGCAAATTATGACAAACTTTGCAATTCAACTTACATGACTTTGGTCTCCAATCCCACTTTGATTTCGGCCAAGCGCGGAAGCATAGTGGCTGGCAACTTATTCACATATTCTTGGATGATGGACCATCTATGTTGGAGAGAGGCCATATTGCGGGTGATAATGATAGGATGGAGCTCCACATATTCATTGTATTCATTATAGTGCTAGTGAATCTTCTCATAATACTTGTAGTCCTTTTCCTCCATGCCACATATAGGGTCCATGCTTCTGGCCAGACAAGCTTTGACTAACAAGATATCTTAAATGTTGTGAATGCCGCACCTTTTGCCTTGGGTGCCTTTGCCGTTTTTTTCTTCATAGTACGCGATGTTTCCCCAACATTAAACATAGGATAATTTCGATCCCCAACTCATATTCCATGCCGTCTGTAGGCTCTTGACCCTCGGTAATCATCTTGGCAGTGTAATTCTCGTAAAATGATCATGATTCTAAATAAACTAATGGAATATGCAATGAATTCATTCAATGGCATATGCAACTAATTGATCCAGTGGCATAACGATTGTAACGAACAAAGGGATACAAAATGGAGTGAAAAATGTATCTTCTCCTGCTGGGACATTCCGTCGAGTGGGAGCTGGGAGACCAGACGCCGACGCTGCATGTGCTTCTCTGTGCCCGTTGGAGTTGCTGCGAGTCGCACACCTCGTCGTCCAGCGCTTGCTTTTCCATAAATCCGTATGTAATTCACTGCCGACGATAGGATGGACGGTTGAGGGGTGACCAGCGCATCGGAGGGGACATATCGTCGTCGAGGTCCACAACATCCTTGGCCGGCTCATTGCCATGGGCGAGAGCCCCATAAATGACGCCAAGGTAACATGTGTGGTGGCGGTGGGGGCGGGGTACCCGGCGATGACATCGGGCGGCGAGTGGAGGTGATGGTGCTGATGGGGGAGCAAGGGTGGATGACGGCGACGACTAGAACGTGAGAAATGGAGGGCGCACACGAGAGAAGGGCATTGGGTTTGGTGAACTTGATCAACTTGGTGCAATATATGATGAGGTCTGTCTATCAGATGACTGTCTATCAGATGACGGACGCGCCCGGGCCTCCTCATATTTGCCCTAAATTTAGCTGTAGCTACTCAACGTAGTACCAACGTTGCAATGCAGTACCTATAGCTGTCGCTAGTCAGTCTATAGACGCGCAGCCGGGGCCGCACACGCACGGGACGACACGGCACGGCACGGCACAGCGCACGCCGATAATGATAAACGGAGGCGCGCGGCGCGGCCGTCCTCTCCTTGACTCGACCTGCTCTACATACACCGTTCGCGTGCGGCATCGGAAGAGAAACAGAATCGAATCGGCTATGGCGAGACCAAAAGCCCTCGCGTCACCCGCAATGATGGAACAGCACAGGGCAGGGCAGGCATTGACCCGCCAACGCTGCCGTGCTACGCCGAGCGTGTCGCGTAGGGCTACGCACAGGCACAGGCACAGCTAGCCCTGATGCCGATAGCCCCCTCCCAGAGGCAAAGTCCAGCGCTAGAGTACACGGCAACAGCGCCCGATGAGGCAAAGCCTGCCCCTCCTCCCCAAGAGGGGCAGAGGCAAGAGGCAGAGCCCGGCTGCAGCGACAGCACAGGACGCGCGCGCGGGCAGGCCATGGCAGAGAGGCGCATGCATGCGCCGCACGGAATCGAACAGCGATATCAGATTCGTGGCAGTACGATAGAGAATGGATGGATGCAACCACACGGCGACCGGAGCGCACAGCGAAGCTCGAGGGCCGAGGAAGAAGAAGAGGAAAAAGGAAAAGGAAAAAGGTGCACTGCTCCTTGCTCTTCTCCCCTGCCGCGGCCGGCCGGGTGAGCAGCGGCCGTGCAGCAGTAGAGCAGAGGTAGCGAGCCTGGGCCAGCCGGTGCTGTGCTGTGCATGCAGCCGTGGCCGCAGGCCCGCCGCCCTCTGACGCCATCGCCGTCCTCCGTGCTCATCTGATCTGCCACTTTGACTTATCGTCGCCTACTACGTGTTGCAAGCCCATCTGCTCGCTCGGGCTCCTTGAACTACGGGGTAGTACGTGTTAGCTTCGGCGTCGTCGGCGTCGTCGTCGCCCACTCGCCGTCCGGCCGGCGCGCGCCTCAGCTAGCAGCATGAGCCGGCGGCGTAGGCGAAGATCTGGTGCACCACCGTGGCCACCTCGTCCGCCGTCGACACCTCGCACCCGTCCTCCATCTGCAGAGTCATAGAAACACACGGCATTAGAAGCAACCACAAAATTCACCGTAGAAAGTAGAAACCACTCTACACGTAGGGGAAACATGGCTCCGGGGATACGTACAAAGTTTGTTAGGTCTGGCATGCATGCATGCATGCATGCAGTCTGTGTATTTAGGTTGTTTTGTTCGTTTGATCCATGACAAGAGGAAAAAGACACGGGACGAAAGCTGGGGCTTGCAACCACGTAGTTGTCGATTAAGCAGAGCTGTCCGTACGGTGTACCCGGCGGCGTCCATCGTATTCCAAACGCTCCAGCTACATACTCCAACCCACACCATCTCCAACGGAAAAGTGTACGTACGTACGAGTGGCCACTGCCGATCTCGCTCGAAATCCAAAAATGCTACACCTCGAAATCCCACGCACGCCACGCTCCAGTCCATCCGCAAAAACGGCGAGTTCGCTTTCCGCAGGCAGGTACCACACACGATGACACGCGCGACACACATCATGCACCATGGAACCCAGACACATCTCTAGTGTAGTAATCAGTTTTGTCAATTTTGATTCTACCCTAGCTTTTTATCCAACGAAAACCAAGACTCATTGACTGTACTCAGTACAAGTAGCAACCAATTTCAATCTATTTTTGAATTAGCTTGTTTTTCTCAAACCTCGTTCACATTTCTAAGGGCGTGCGTTCTACTGTGGATCAAGCTACGGACCAAAAATAGGGTAGCCTTTGTTTCCTAGTAATCAAATGGCTAAGGCAACTATCGTCTGTAATGAGAACAAAATGGCCACAATTTGCGGCAGTGAAATACACTGAAGAACGAAAACGCTGGAGCAGGAAAGCAACGGGCGGGGCGGTTAAAGTTAAGCAAAGTCAAGATGAGACGTTAAATTGGTGTAGCTTTGAGATGACTGATTAGCTACCTTAAGGTTGAAGCAGTAGACCACGGCGTCGTGGCCCACGGAGGTGACGGCGAGGTGCAGCACGGCCATGCGGAGGTTCTCCATGGCGGCCACGGCGCGCACGAGCCGCCCTGGCCACCGCCTCCCCGCGACGCGCAGCCGCACGTGGCCCCCCACCGCGGCCATCGCCTCCACGTCCACGCCGCCGCCGATGCCGCCGACCTGGGAGAAGCTCGTGTACTGCGGCGACACGAACACGCCGTCCGACGCCGCCGTGGCCGCCGTCCCCACGGGCCCCTCACCGCGCTGCGCCGCCGCCAACGCCTGCAGCGCCACCAGCTGCTGCTCCAGCTGCTTCACGTAGTCGATGGCTCCCCCCACCACCGTCGCCTGGTCACCCTAGGGTGCATTCATTGCAGACGTACGTAAGACCGGGGAGGGTTCTTGCGGCGACAAATTAATCTCATTTGATGAGTGCGAGATGGCTTACTCGTGGGATGTAATCGGAGGGGATGAGGGCGCGGAGGGAGGCGAGGTGGTCGTTCATGAGGCGGCGACGGTTGCGCTCGACGGCGATGTGTGTCATCCGCTGGCACTCGGCCTCCTCCGGCTTCTTGCGCTTCTCCGGCGGGGGCGCGCGCGGGCGCGTCCGCGGCCGCTTCCTCCGCTTCGTCGCCGGCGCCTCGACCACCGGGGGCGCCGGCAGCTGCGTGACGCAGCTCTCGAGCAGGTCGACGTCGGACGCAGCCGGCCGGCACGCGAAGCCAGCGGCGGCGCCGTAAGACTCCCGCTTCACCCCTGGTCCGCCGTCCCCCATGGTGGCGCCCTGGAGCAGCGCCAAGAAAGGCACCTGCGCGGCGCTGGCGCTCGCCGCCGCCTGGTCCGCCCAGCACTGATCCATCACCACCACCACCACCATGAGCCGAGAAGAAGAACACGCAACAGCACAGGGAAGAAAGCAACACGTTAGCAAGAAGAAGCAACCGCGGCAAGGCCATAAAAGAGACGCTACGACGAGGCATTGAATGGCGCGAGCGTGCGCGGACAGGGCTAGTTACTGAGGCTAGCCATTGGAGTGGCACCGGGGAAGGAAGAAACGAGGCACTAAACTAGAGTAAACGCACGCAGGAGAAGGGAAGGGAAGGGAAGGGAAGCTGCCATGCCGCAGCGAGCGGCGAGCGAGCAGTGGCAGTTAATACGGCGCTCGCTCCATACCAGAGAGCTGGAACGGAAGCTGCGCGCGCGCACGCACGCTCAATTACTGAGGCGAATTGAAGGGGAGGACGGAGGTGCGGGGCTTACCAGGGAGGTGATGATGGGGCCTTGCAGCTGCATCCTCTCCATTACTGTTAGACGGAGTGTGTCTCCACACCAAACAGGGGTGGCAATAACTGCGCTAATAAGTAATGAGCCCCTGGGGCAGCGAGCGAGCAACAGCAGCTCCTCCTCCTCTCTTGCTGCTCCTCCTCTCCTCCTTCTTCTCCAGTGTAAGTGGAGCAGCTCTACTGTTGCAATAAATATGGGCTCCCCTCCCTCCCTCCCTCTCCACTCTACAGCTGGTGCTACTTGTAGCAGCAGTGGCAAGGCAAAGGCAAGGGAGGGCAACAACCTAAGATAGGGGACCAAAAGTACTTCACAGACGACATTTGGCTGAACGACGCTCGGACGATGACTAATCCAACTGCTGGTGCTGTTTTAGGTTTGGGCTTGGATGGTGGATAGGGGACGGAGGAGTTGTCTCTTGTTGCATGTGTGGGGGTGAGAGGGAGAGAGAGAGATGGATGGATGGATGAAGCTGGGTAGGCCATGGCAATGGCAGTAGGGATTAATTCGAAGCGATTGATCAGTGTAACAAGGTAATGAGTTATTGACGGTGCAGGCAGCGGCAGGGGACTGAGGAGGAAGAGGGGATTGGCGCGGCGGATTTGTCCGGCCCGAGGACAGCGGCAGGCGACGGGTGGGGGCCGGCAGCTCCGCCCGCTTTGCGCCCCTGGCTAGGCCGCCGTCCACGGAGTACATTTCTGTAAAAATAGAGTTTTTTTTTTGTTGGGAACTTGTAACACACGGCTTTTATTTATGTTTGAAGGCCAGATCGCTCGCATGTGTTTCATCCGGATGTGAAGTGGTGTTTTCAGCGGACCCTGAGTATATGCACCTGAATGAACAGTGAAATGTATAAAATGTTCAGAAAAACAAACATTATCGAATGCTTCCCTTGCATGCCAAGTTTCGTAAAGGAAAAGCATTCCTAATGTTCCGCGCAGATGATCCAAAATTGCTATTTTGAAGGGGACTGCTACGCGTCGGCTCGCGCGAGCCGTTTGATTAGGCACAATCTAGATTGAATGTTTTCCTCTACTTTGCAACAGAGACTTTGTTGCGGAAACATTTTGTAAAAAAAGAAGGGTCCCGATAACTGCCACACGTGTGGTGTATCGGGTAGTTGTGCCACACGCCCCGTGTGGCATGAAAAACAACCAGCCCACACATCTACGTGTGGGCAAAATAACTAATGCCCACACACATCTTTTTTCCCTTCCGAACCCTCTCACACGCGTGCGTGTGGGCGAAGTTGATAACGCCCACACGCCCGTATGTCAGGCCTCGTACCATCCTGGTCCCGCACGCGACTCGTGACGCCCACCGCGTGCCCGCAGTTGCCATGGTTCAGACTCTCGTCCATGTTCGTTTAACTGCAGTTGCCATGTCGCTAAACTACGGTTGCCATGTTGGACAACTGCAGTTGCCATGGTTGCTCAACTGCAGTTGCCATGTATGGTCTGATCTAATGTAGTTGCCATGATTTCAAAACTTTAGGAGTTGCCACATACTAACACTAGGCAGTTGAGAGAGTTGCCATGTGCTCACAAGTATGGTAGGGCAGTTGCCGTGTAAAAAGGAAGAGTTGCCATCTGCTAACGTGCACGTTATGGCAGTTGCCATGTACGTGCACGTTGGGGCAGTTGCCATGTAACATGCAAAAACACACGGCAACTCGGTAAAAAAGAGTTGACATCTGCTTACGTGCACATTAGGCCGTTGCCATGTACCCTGCAAAAACACATGGCAACTCGGGTAAATAAAAAGAGTTGTCACCTGCTTATAAAGCACACTCGGGGCAGTTGCCATGGGCGTTGCAAAAACACATGGCAACTAGCAGCTGGAGTGTGGGAGAAGAGACGGGCGTGTGGGCGAGATGGCAAATGCCCACACACCAGCCTTTGTGCGTGACTGAAAACTGGTGTGTGGGTGAACTGCTAAACGCCCACACACCGGCCCCTTCGTGTGATAAACAGATGTGTGGGCGAACTATGTCACACACCACACACACGTTTTGTCCTACGTGGCACAGAAAACCAGCCAGATTGTGCCAAGATTCGTGCATATAATACTGGACGATGATGGATGCGTGTGGTCGAGATGATCAACGCCCACACATGTGGGCGTTAACATTTCCGAAAAAGAATAGGTTGCGGACTATTGTTTTTGTAACATTGATTGTGTTGCGGATTGTTTTTTGCAACAAAGTCTTATTACCGAATTTTTACATTTTTTTGCAACAGAGGTCTTGTTGCGGAAAATATTTGTAACAAAGGTTGTGTTGTAGATTTTCTTTTTGCAACAAAGATAATGTTGCAGATTTTTTTTAATAATAGATATTATGTTACAGAAATTTTTAGTCCGCATCGTGGTGCCACTGCAGCATTTCCTATGTTTCAGAAACATGAATGATGTTGCAAAATCCTAATGCATACAGTGGGTGGGTTGGCTTCCGTGGACGGCGGACGCGAGGCGTAGAATCTGTACGTACACATAGACTGTTTGATCAAAAGTGATCCAACGGCTCTGCGCACGGCAGATGCGAGAGCACGATCCGCCAGCTGAAAGGTAACGTTTCCCTATTTTTAAAGCATTTTGAAGCACTATTTTTTTTCTTTAAACCTCTCTGGATGTCATCCCATCATGAAACTTTGCATGCATGTGAAACATTCACCAATGTTTGTCACAAATTAAATTCAGATTTTTTGTAACTATGTTTTCACATTTAACCACGCAGGAGCAGGACAAGTTTGATCTTGTAGCACCTTTTTACGGTAGATCATCCACCAATTGCACCCATTACTTCGAGGATAGTCCCCAAGAACAGCAACAGAGGGGAAAGGATAGCGTTTTGGTGCTCGGCCTACATGGAGACTTTTTTCTGAAACATTCAAAAATCAAAAATCCATATGACATATAAATGTGTACTACACATGTATAAAGTTTCATCGAAAAGTACATTGATTCATGAGCTACAAAAAAAAGAGACAATAGTTGGTTTTATATAGTGAACAGTTTGTGTGCACATACTATTCACGGTTTCCAATGTCAGCGATTTGTCTTTTTTGTGTAGCCCGCATGTGAGTACATCCGTATGATATTGTGGATTTTTTTCAGGATTTTTGAAGCACTGAAACACTTGTTTTGTATGTTTCAAAAAAACGAGCTCCGTGTACCTGGAGTACCAAAACAAATTTTCAGTCTCAAACATATTTAGAATTTTTGATCATGGTGTCTCCAACGTAGTGATGTCTACTACGCAACCTTCTTCTTGTAGATTTGTGTTGGGCCTTCAAGCGCAGAGTTTTATAGAACAATAGCAAATTTCCCTCAAGTGGATGACCTAAGATTTATCAATCCGTGGGAGGCGTAGGATGAAGATGATCTCTCTCAACAACCCTGCAACCAAATAACAAAGAGTCTCTTATGTCCCCCAACACACCCAATACAATGGTAAATTATATAGGTGTACTAGTTCGGAGAAGAGATGGAGATACAAGTGCAATATGGATGGTAGGTATAAATTTTTGTAATCTGAAAATATAAAAATAGCAAGGTAGCAAGTAACAAAAGTGAGCGAAAACAGTATTACAATGCTTAGAAACAAGGCCCAGGGTTCACTCCAAAGTCACTAATAGCGGAGAATAAATGAAGTGATTATTGTAAGGTACAAAACCACCTCAAAGTTATTCTTTCTAATCGATCTATTGAACTATTCTTATAAATGTCACAAACAGCCCTAGAGTTCGTACTAAAATAACACCTTAAGACACACATCAACCAAAACCCTAATGTCACTTAGATACTTCAATGTCACCACAAGTACCCGCGGGTTTGATTATACGAAATGCATCACACAATCTCAGATTCATCTATTCAAACCAACACAAATAACTTCAAAGAGTGCCTCAAAATTTATACCAGAGATCAAGACGAAAACGTGTGCCAACCGCTATGCATAAGTTCACAAGGTCACATAACCCGCAAGTTGATCACGAAAACATACATCAAGTAGATCACGTGAATATCCCATTGTCACCACAGATAAGCACATGCAAGACATACATCAAGTGTTCTCAAATCCTTAAAGTCTCAATCCGATAAGATAACTTCAAAAGGAAAACTCAATCAATTTCAAGTGGAAAGAGGGGGGAGAAACATCATAAGATCCAACTATAATAGCAAAGCTCGCGATACATCAAGATCGTGCCATATCAAGAACACGAGAGGGAGAGATCAAACACATAGCTCCTGGTACATACCCTCAGCCCCGAGGGTGAACTACTCCCTCCTCGTCATGGAGAGCGTCGGGATGATGAAGATCGCCACCGGTGATGATTTCCCCCCTCCGGCAGGGTGCCAGAACAGGGTCCGATTGGTTTTTGGTGGCTACAGAGCCTTGCGGCGGCGGAACTCCCGATCTAGGTTTTGTTCTGGGGTTTGGGGGATTTATAAGAGGCATTGGCACCGGGGATAGGTCAAGGGGGGCCACGAGAAAGGACGGATGGCGTGCCCTAGTGGGTGAGGGCGCCCTCCACCTTTGTGGTGGCCTCGGGACTCTTCTCGATATCTTTTTATTCCACTATTTTTTATATTTTCCAAAAATATTATCCGTAAATTTTTAGGTCAATTGGACTCCGTTTTATATTCCTTTTCTGCAAAGCTCAAAAACAAGGAAAAAACAGAAACTCGCACTGGGCTCTAGGTTAATAGGTTAGTCCCAAAAATCATATAAAATAGCGTATAAATGCATATAAAACATCCAAGATAGATAATAGAATGGAATGGAACAATCAAAAAATATAGATACGTTGGAGACGTATCAATCATCCCCAAGCTTAATTCTTGCTCGTCCTCGAGTAGGTAAATGATAAAAACAGAATTTTTGATGTGGAATGCTACCTAACATATTTATCCATGTAATTTTCTCTATTGTGGCATGAATGTTCAGATCCATAAGATTCAAAACAAAAGTTTATTATTGACATAAGAATAATAATACTTCAAGCATACTAATAAAGCAA